CCCCCAGATCGGTTCATTTTACTAAAAAAATAATTGTGTAAAATTTTAGTTCAATTCGATAAGTGGAAATGGTGCCCCAAGAGCCTCAAAGATTGGAAATGGTGCCCCAAGAGCCTCAAAGATTAGAAAATAACGATTTTTTCCATAAAATTCATCTTTGATTGCTTATATCTCCGACATATTTAATTTTACATAAAAACTGTCTTCCTAAAAGTTATAGATCTATTAAAAATTCATTCATACAAAGTTTTTCTGTATTTCTAATAGTTATTGAATAAAACAAAAAATAAGTTGAAGTCATCTGATTGCTAGCTTTGAAAGTACTATGAATGTAATTGTCCGCTTCAGCTTTACAAAAAATTTAATATTTCTAAAAAATTTAAAATAAATTCAATATTTCCAAAATTTAATCTTTCTAATAATAAAAAAGTACTAATTCTAGGTTTGTCCGACATAATTTTTATTATTTTAGTTAAAGTTGCTGGAGCAAAGTATCCTTATTACCTTCAGTTATTTTTGCGCGATCTATTGATACTCTTCTGACTTCCTTGTCATCACTATCTATATTCAAATTTGAAACTATCTTTTTCTTTGTCTCAGGTGATGTATTTAAATCCAAAAAAGCAAATTGAACAAGCTTTGAGCTTAAATACCAAATACAATTTTTTGATATTGACTGAGAATAGAAAGAAGATTAAAATCTTGAAAATGAGCTTTGACTGATGACAAAGCATTAAACCATACTTCAACATACACTTTAGTAATAAATATATATATATCGCAAAGAGCATTTTCTTCTTCTGTAGATAATTTGAACTCTTTCCTAAATAAAAATATTTTTAATACATGCATGACTTTCACCATCCATCTTGCATGACGTATAGCTCCAGGAGGTCGAAACTTTATGGTACAGTTCGGTTTTTCTCCTAAAAACATTAATGTAAGTTCCATAAGTTCCTTATAATCATCTCTTGGTTGGTTATCCTTACGAATCTTATAAAGAAAACTTGTAATTCGTAACACATCATCCATATTTAACGATTTTCTTACTTTTTCATTTTCTAAGCCGACTGTAAAATTATCAACGTTTATTTTCGGCCAAAACTTCTGAAATCGTTGCAATAGTTCAACATTTGGGCTTTCAGACTTGTACACTTTTTAATGTAATCACTTTGAATTAAAATTCATTTCGCATTCCAATGAATAATACAGAAACTCACTTATGTATATAACTATACAAGTATTGGACTTATTTTCTAGCAAATTTAGTAGACAATTCATTCATTGAACTTACCTAAATTTAATAGGGGGATTTCAGCTTGTATTTGCTTTTATTCAATAACTATTAGAAATGCAGAAAAACTTTGTATGAGTAAATTGTTTATTTTTAATAGATCTATAATTTTTAGGAAGACAGTTTTTATGTAAAATTAAATATGTCGGAGATATAAGCAATCAAAGATGAATTTTATGGAAAAAATCGTTATTTTCCAATCTTTGAGGCTCTTGGGGCACCATTTCCACTTATCCAATTGAACTAAAATTTTACACAGATTATTTTTTTAGTAAAATGAACCGATCTGGGGGGTGCCGTCAACCGATTTTACGAAAAAAAAATTGCCCATATACCTTAATGGCACCCTAATGATACATATTCAAAAGAAATATGAGACCAAAAACTACAGATTACAACCACAGCACAAGGACCTATCCAATGACAACAACACACAAGCAGAAGAAATAAGAAGAGAAATAGCTGATTGTTTTGATTCTTTTTTATTTTCTTACTAATATTTACATTATTTGTATGAACTAACAATAGTTACAAAAACTATATTATAAATTAGTTAATATATACACAAAATTTTAATTATTTGCATGCATTTATTACACTTATAACTAAACTACAAAATATCAATTTTTTCTTTCTTTATAACTTTTATTCCATGCCGATAAGAATATAGAATTTTTGTTTTAGGTATAAATTCATTTTGCTGTTAGGGGGATTGCCTTTTTTCAAATCAAATGTTTAATTTTTTCTTTCTTTTGCTGCTTCTTTTTACAAATGTCGCTGGCAGCGTGGTTTAAAATAAATATAATAACTTCCAACTTAACTCTTAACTACTCTTAACAATTATATTGAGTTTCGACAATGAAATATGTATATCAAGCTCTTCTACAGATGACGATAATATTGAGCACTATAGCTCTTAATTACTGGATACAATTCTAAGCGCAACGAAAAGTGATGATGAAGGTTCGGTGGATGTAATTGTTCATCAGCCTTCCAATAATAAAATAGTTGCTCTCACCAGATTTTACATAAAGCTGTTCTATTAAAATATGACTGAAGACCGTACTCTGACATTTTATCGCTCTTAGTTTGCAGTTTACTTCTGTTTTAGTTGAGTTTTACTATGAGAAGCTCGTGGCAAACTCCTATCTTTACTTCCAAAATTGTTTGTTTTACATAGAGTTTTATAATAGTGTTTTTTCGTCATAAATTGCGTCACATTCGACATTAACGCTTATTTTTGTAGTTTAGCATGCTAAATAAAAATCGGAGACGCTTAATATCTGACATTTACAATTAGAGAATCTTATTAGAATATTAAAGATTATGTATTTTGTATGAGAAATAGCAATTATTGTAATACATTTATTGTGTTAAATACGATATTTTAAACGAATTGGAATATATTTTAATACCATTGCAAATAAACTTTCTACTACTTTTTATAGCAACACATTTCTCATAGCAAATAAAAAAACTGTGGTAAATAAATTATGACTTTCTCCCTCTCAATACGCAGTATACTTCAAGCCGGTATTTCCATAGATTTGTAGTAAATTTTTTGTCGGCAGAAAGTTTATTTCCGTGCTCAGTTAATTCTGTGTGATTGGTAAGGGATTTTTTTACTAAAGATATATAATAGTATTATATAAGCAGTTCTTTAAATTATTATTTGATACTTAAAGTTTTGTTTACCAAAAAAGCATTCATGTGCTAATTTTTCTGTATAATCAAAATAATAAGAAAAGCTTTTTATAAATAAGAAGAAAAAACACTCAATAAAATGAAACAATTTATTATCCTTATCGGCACGCAAACTTACAGTAACAATTATAAAAACAACTGCATGTTGATTCCCTATTTGGGTTGGGAGCTGCAAATGTTAGGAAGTAAATAAAAACAATGATGCAGTGACAGAGAATAATGAAAACAACACCAGAACAAACTGGGCAATAATAATAAATAGAAGTGAATAATTAAGTGCATTTTTTTATCGTATTTACATAGCTCAGCTCCTGAAAAATTTATTTCATTTCTTACATTAAAGACGCCTGTGGCAATAAGTAAACATATTTTTAAATGATTGTCTAAATATATGAACATACAATGCCTAAAATCAACCTAAATAGCAATATTCATAAAGTACAATGAAGATGTGTAAAGCAAACATAACATAAATATGTATTGCATTGCTAGTAGATGCGATTAAATTAAAACACCTTTAAATAAACTAAAGCAGCGTGAGATAAAAAAAGTATCGTCATATAAACGTTGTTTAATATGACGATTCTAAATGCTCTCGTAGAAATGCCAACAGTATAAAGCCTTTGTTACTTAATTTGCTAAATCGCTGTTGAAGATATGTTTGCGAAATCATCGGTTAATATTCCTGTTATTAACTCTTGAAAATTAATTTGTTGCGAAATTTTACTATCAAAATATAATATTTTAATAATAAGCTAAAAACTTTAATTTTTCCAGTGTTGCCAAAGTAATTTTTAGTAATTTTGAAATAATATTTAAGAATAATATAGAAGATGGTAACACACTTAATGTAAATTCAAATTCAAATTATTTCGAAACAACACAAGTCGAAGCAATTAAACGTCAAAGAAAGTTAGAAACCCGTAAAAGATATAGATTGCAAAATATAGAAAAAATAAAAGAAACAAAATGAGCAAGATACGCGGCAAATAGTAAACCAGAGACAATGCAGCAAATAAAGATAAAGCAAAGGCAAGATACCAAGCAAATAAGTATGTTATTAAAGAACCAAGATATTCTGCAAATAACGGAAGAGCAGCAGTTACAAATGCTGTAAGTAAAGTTGGAGACAAAGCATGATATTAGATAAATAAATATTTTTAAAGAACAATAAAGACAAACTGCAAAGCTAAAAGTTATAAAAGAAGTATATCAGCGGAAATTACGAGGTATACAAACTAAATTAAAACAATTTAATTAAAAGTTAACAGAAATTATGTACATATAAGATAATAAAACCACTACAGAACAACAATTTTATTGAGACAAAGAGATGTGAACGCAAAGATCTGTTTAGCTTCAACATTAATATCAAGTATGGAGTTCCAAAGCGCGTTCCTCCTCACAACAGGGCAAAGATTCTTGTCAGGTAATAGTGGGCTGCGTTACCATCTCAACAAGATATGTCTGTTCTAGAATACAAAATGTCAATTTTACTAGAAAGTGATACCCGTCTGTTAAAATGTCAATAGCTAATATGTTTATCACTCAAAAATAAATTGGGTTTTCTGTACACCTTAAACCGGATAGTAACACAAAAGATAAGGTCAGTGCCCCACACTGTCTATTTTATTATTATTATCGGTACAGTACAACTTCGCTAATTCGGATTCATAAAAATTGGGTTAATCTAGATTACTGAGACTCTCGGATTGCGAAATTCATTTGTATGATAAATGATACTCGTAAAGTGTATTTGCAAATAACTATGTGTATATTATGTGCATAACCCATAAGTGTTATTTATTTACGCGACTATTAAACGGACAAGTGATCCGGATTACTAAATTAGTAACTAGTTGATCCGAAATTAATCTACCAAATGTATATTAAGCATTAACTAATTTAATCAGACTACTAGGGAATCCTGATATTCTGACTAGTAGATATCTAATATATTTCATTTTTATAAAGTAAAATTTTTAAAATAATTTACGCCTAATGGTGAATACGATTATTGTTTATCCACAAGCATTCCAATTATTTTGAGGTTACAATTACTTGCCAAAAAAATTTAAAAATAATAATGTAATATATAACTAATTTTAATTGTAAAAACACAATATTCCATATCAAAGTCAGAATTTTACTTATTGAGTACATCTCAAACACTCAAATTCAGCAATTGCGAATTTAGAATCTTAAGCAAGTCCTATATGAGTAAATTAGTATGAAATGTGTATATATTGTTTTTTCTTTCTTTCTATAGAACATAGTAAATTGCGAGAGAAAATAAAAATGTGGATGCCTGCGGAGGAAACGGCTCTTGTTAATTTTCTTAAAGAAAATGTGGAATTTGAGGTCAGTTAGTTGAAATTAATTTTGTATTAAAAATTTAATTAATTTTAATTTCCAGAAACCAACATCGCGGGTATATTATAATCGTTTCCTTCAAAGTAGCGGTGTGGATGCTGATTGGAAAATTGTACGCTTAAAGGTGTTAAATATGAGAAAAACTTATAAAAAAACAAAAGAATGGTTGGATACTGTAGGAGAAGCTATGGCAGATGACGAATCAGTTGGAAGTAAGTTTTTAGATCCTTTTAAATTGTTAACAGTGAAGTATTATTTTAGTTTAAAAGCTTAAAAAAAAAAATACGGTGCGATACGAGAAGTACGAAAATTTGAAAGATTAAAAGTTTAAATCGATAAGATCAGTTTAACGTTTATAAACACTTATATGTAAATTATATATTACAAATGTTATTAAACAAATTATTGTTTTCTAGCTAAGAAATTTTTAAAATATCTTTCATATATATTTTTCTTAGCATAAGTGATTTTATTCATGATAACTTTTATATTTCTAAATTTTTCGTGCTGGCTAAATTGGTATAACACTGTATATGTTATTACAGTTTTCATATATTATTATGGTTAATATATTGAAGAAGAAATATTGTTTTTAAATTTAACACAAAGTAGAAATTTTTTAAAAATGGTATACAATTCCATTCTAGATGCCATACGCAATATGTGTCCTTTATATTATGATATTGAAAAAGTTTTTGGATCAAACTTCATTAATTCACCTACGAAATCAAATAGGTTACAACCTATTATTGTGAAATCAGAATCAATCAGTGATCAAAATTTTGATGATGCATCTAATACTATAGTTAAAACAGAAAACGAAGAATTTGAAAATGTTTATGATAATATGCAAGGTGCTAGCCAAGATAGAAGTTTTTCATTAACGGAAACTATGTCTAGCCACG